TACATATTTATTAGGTTCCAACGCTGAAATTCACAGTCAAGCATGGGAATAGGATACAATTTGTGCCCTGGAGACTTAGAATGGCATAGTTGAATAGTTCCACACTGGTGTAATTATGATCATCCTAACATCTGGAATAATGAGTTTTAAATGTTTAACTACTTTGAACTATGACCCAAGTCCAGATATGCAGCCATAAATTATACTCATAATAGTCAAGAGAATTAGCAAGTAAGGCAACACTCCAGGTAATTATATTTTAGGATGTTTACTTATTTGCCAGGATCCTTTTTTAGTAAATTAAGCTTTCGTAGTAAATCCCAGCTGATAAAAAGCCTTAACATTATAACATTATAACATTTAAAAAATACTTCTTAATTGTTTGGACTTAGACATATACCCTAGAAAACAGATAGAAAATTCATCTTGAGATAGGTGTTTTATGATGCTGGGTTTTCCTCAGAAAATAATCACATTTATTGCAAACTAAACATTCTCTTTGTTGCTACTGACATTCCTTATGATCAGTAGAGGGAGCACAAGTTTTCTAACAAACCCTCCGTCACAAAACAAGTGACATCACCAATGATGGCATGAAGGGAAAACATGTAAGCTAGTTCATATTGGTTCATATATATTGGTCCATGTTCCATGAGCCCTGAGAAAATTAAAATGCCAAGAACCATAAAGATAAAATTTAATATCATATTTGAGATGACATTTTAAGTTAAGGGATATATTTACAAGAAAAAATTGACATAATTTCTTTAAAATTAAAAACTCTGGGTTGTGATGCACAGATTATTAAATTTAATTTTACTGAAGGTTTTGTTTTTTTGTTTGCTTTATTTCCTTATCCTAAATTCTAAAAGTCATTGTAGGGGCAGTCTGAAATGGTCACTTATATGATGTATTAAAATTTGGTACATTAAAAGAGGTAGTGATTTATGTGTGGGCCAGTTATATTTTTGTTCATTAGGAAAAAGTCTAGAAATTTTTTTGTCAGAACAGTGTGCTAAAGACTTATTTAGTTATTAGTTAAGAACATATATTGGAGAAAAAAAAATCTTACACTAAAATCTTTTTAAAATGTGGCTGGTAGTCCCAATGGAATGTTTACATGTTTTGTGAGCATTTGATGGGGCATGGAGGATGATCATTGTCCTTGTCCCAAACTTGTTTTTAATTGATGTTTGGTGCTATTTAGATTACTTGGCAAAGAAACTCAGATGGCATGGATGCTTACTTGTGACACTGTGTTAGAGTTAAGTACTACAGAGAAAACCAAGTCAGTTTAATTCCTCTCTCTATGATCTTACAGCTATCAAAATAAAGTCACCAAACATTTTTATATCACTTTTACATATTTTTTAAAATATATTTTATTGATTTTTTACAGTGAGGAAGGGAGAGGGATAGAGAGTTAGAAACATCAATCAGCTGCCTCTTGCACACCCCCTACTGGGGGTGTACCCGCAACCAAGGTACATGCCCTTGACTGGATTCGAACCTGAGACCCTTCAGTTTGCAGGCCGACGCTCTATCCACTGAGCCAAACCGGTTAGGGCAACTTTTACATATTTTTAAAAATGTTTTTATTGATTTTAGAGAGAGAAAGTGAGAGGGAGAAAGGAATAGAAACATCAATGATGAGAACCATTGATTGGCTGTCTCCTGCACGCCCCTTATTGGGAATGGAGCCCACAACCCAGGCATGTGTCCTGACTGGGAATCAAACTGTGACCTTCTGGTTCATTGGCCAGTGCTCAAACTGGATGGACCATTTTTACATATTTTTAATGGAACAGCTCTTTAAATTAATGAGGACCAATGGAAATAGGCTTGTTATATAGAAGAATTAATTCAGATATATTGAGATTTAGTGAGCTATTTAAGATTACATAGTATACTAGAGGCCCGGTGCATGAAATTTGTGCACTGGAGGAGGGGAGTCCTTCAGCCCGGCCTGTGCCCTCTTGCAGTCTGAGATCCCTCAGGGGATGTCCACCTGCCAGCTTGGGCTCACTCCCTGCGGGGTTTGGGCCTAAGCTGGCACTTGGACATCCCTCTCGCAGTCCGGTACCTCTCGCTCCTTACTGCCTGCCTGCTCGCTGCTTCTTACCGCTTGACTTGCTGCTTCTTAGCGCTGCTGCGGAGATGGGAGAGGCTCTGCCACCGCCTCTGTGCTTGCCAGCCATGGCTGAGTGGCGCTTCCCCTGTGGGAGCACACTGACCACCAGGGGGCAGCTCCTGTGTGAGCGTCTGCCCCTTGGTGGTCAGTGTGCATTATAGCGACCAGTCGTTCTGGTCGTTCTGCCATAATGGTTGCTTAGGCTTTTATTATATAGATTAGCATAGTCGACAAAACCAGAATCCAGAACTCTTGACTTCTAGTTCAAGGAGTCAATAACTAAGAGTTCACGCAGCAGTGATCTAGGACAGATGATTTGAAAATATAGGGACATTGTTTAAATATCCGATCCTCTATAAAGTGCTCTTTTTGTGCAAGTCATTGTGTCATTAGTTTTGTTTGGTTCAAAAAATGAGAAAACTCATAACATCATGAAACTCTGTTGTGTAGCAGTAATACAAATAGCTTTTTTAGGGCCAATGCAATAGAAAACTCCCTATATACTAATATATAGTTAAGGAGAGAATTTGGAGGAAATAGCTTAGGGGGTTTCATTTACATGTACAGAGAATGGCTCTTAGATTAAAGAGCCATAATTCTTGGGGGAGGTTGCATTTCACATTCACTTCAATAAGTTTACTGAGGAGTCCAATTGAACAGGGATGGTCTTGGAAACCATAGTTAAGAAGGGATGTTAGATCATATAGTTAGAGAGCCAGCTGAGACCTTGGAGACTATGTAGTCCTTGCATTAATTTTACAGCTAAGGAAATTGAGACCTGGAGTGGTTCTGAGTCACTTGCCCAAGGTTAGTCACACAGCTAGAGGGGGTAGAATTGGAATTAGATCCCTTCCAAATGCCTGGATATGAACAAACGCTGAAGTAGATTGGTAACAGAATCTAGAAGGTGGGGAATTGTGGAAATATAATAGATGTGTAGAGTAGACTTATGTACAATTTTTACAGAGATGCGATTTCCATCCATCTTTAAAAGAATGGAAAGATAACTTTGACTAGTTTTTGGTTTCTTGGGCATAGCAAATCAAAATAGAAGGATTTAGTGATCCATGGAACAGTTTGAAAAGTAGGATGAGCTGCTTGATGGCAAATTTGAAAATAACCTTCTCAGCAACTTGTAAGACATTTTATTGGTAACAATAATAAAGATAATAACGGTGATATTATTAACAACAGCTACCATTTATTGAATGTTTACCCTTTGTCCAGGCACCATGTCAAGCATCTGATGTACATCAGTAGTTCATTTAATTATTTCACCCTGTGACCTAAGTATTACTATGTCGTTTTGTAGATAAAAAGACTGAATCTCAGTTTCTTGTCCTAGTCACACTGGTAGTTGGTTATGGAATAAAAAGTTGAATTCTGATTATGTTTGAATTCCAAGGCTGTGTTTCTCTAACTTGAGTAATGAATAGACCCTCCTTCTAAAGGAAAAATAATCTGCTTCATCCCATATTGACTTATTTTTATTAAAAGACTATTTAACTACGTGTAAACATAAATTCCTTAAGTTTGTAGCTCTTATATTTTTTAAAACTTAAAAAGAACTACAAATTAAATACAAGTAAAACATACAAAATCAATAAAATTCAAATTGATATTAATTTAATGTGAAAGATGAAGTTTTTACTGAAATTAAAATATCAATTGCAAGATGAATTTGTGGCCATTGCACAGTTCTTTTGAGTTTGGCATGCCTGTGTTGCCACGTGTTTCATGATAACTTGGTTCTGCTGCCACATTTCTCTATTCTGACTTCTGTAAAATATCCCTTCAGACAGTAGTCTAGTGTCATTTGACTTTCGCTTGGTGCACTCAGATATTTATTGTTAATCCCACCTCTGTTTTCATTAGTTATGATGAAGTACTGCCACTTGGAGCTGGTTTGGGGCTCTGAGACGTCATGGCTGTGTACTTAGTTAAAAAATGATGGCTATCCTGGTGCTCTAGAATATGCTCGTGTTAATTCTTTTTCAGGTTATCTTCTAGAAGAAAGCACAAAATTTAAGAAATTCATAGTCTCTGGAGTCATAGCCAGGACTCTGGGGTTTCCACTTAAAAAAAATTGCACTGCACTTTCTCTCCAAACACTGTCATAGAACCATCTGCCCTCTGTGGGGTAATAGTGCAGACCCAGGAAAGCCTCCGTCTTCACCTGCTTTCAGTGCTGCTGTGGTCAGGCCACCACTATTTTGCATCTGAATTTTTGCTCAGCATGTAGTTTTGCCTCCACCAAATTATTCTCCACAGTGTGTTCCACACTGTTGAGTTTTCTATAATACAAACTTCTAGAACGGAGCCTCGGAATCACCTCTTTCTGGAAACTTTCCTTTATTGTGTCTCCTTATCTCCTGCCTCTCACCCCATCCATTATCACCTTGCTCCTTCTCTCCCCTAGATTGAATTAGTTATTTTTTCCTTCATTCCTCCTTTAGAACTCCATAACACCGTTGGCATATCTCTGTTATAATGCTTAGATCATTGTGTTGCAATCCTTAATTTTTGGGTCTCCCTAAGTAGACCTATTAGCTTCTTGAAAGTACGCCAGCCTCTGCATCTTCCTTACAGCATATTGTCTGAATGGGAAGGAGGCTCTCATGGTAGCTGTGATCTTGAATCACTGGTCAGTCAGTTATAAGTTTAGAAGTGAGGAGTCAAAAATAGGCAAGAGCAAAGTAGACATTTCCTAATCTTTCCCATTCATGTATGTGAAATTTATACAAATTACATAAATAGTTAATGTAGTAGACTCTTTTAATATGTAAGCAACCTAATTTTGGAAGTAAACTTTCTATAAAAAATTAAATGATAGCATTATTTTGCTGTTCTTTTGTTTCCTTTTGGTTAGGCGCTGTGATTGTCTCCACGCCCCAGGACATTGCATTGATGGATGCACACAAGGGTGCTGAGATGTTTCGAAAAGTTCACGTGCCCGTAAGCATTTATGCTTCATTGTTGCAGAAATACAAGACACTTCTAACTGAAGAAACAAGTCACTGAGAAATACAACACAACTTTTAATTTAGTTCTGTGCAGTTTATATGAAAACCCTATTTCATCTTTATGGTTACTTTATTAAAATATATATATATAGATAGATATAGATATAGATATCTATCTATCTATCTATCTATATATCTATATATATAGATATCTATCTACATAGATATCTATATATATTTTGTTGGTTTCAGAGAGGAAGGGAAAGGGAGAGAGAGATCATTGATCGGCTGCCTCCTGCACTCCTGACCCTTGGGAGTAAGCCCACAACCCGGGCATATGCCCTGACCGGGAATAGAACCATGACCTCCTGGTTCATAGGTTGACACTCAGCCACACCAGCAGGGCTTTATGGTTACTTTAAAACACACATATAGGTGCAAACATATATACACATTATGTTAATCAAGGAGACTTCAAAAATGTCCTTCCAATATGAGTTTTCTGAAGAAGTACTACCTCTCTCAAATGCAGCTCTCACTGACACCTCCCACCCCCCAAAAAAGTATAAGAGTATTTTAGGAAATTATTTAGGTAGATACACTTGAATAGATAACCAGTAGGAATGCAGGTGAAAACGATGTCTTTTTTTCCTTCTTTCTCCTATAATTTAACTCATTTATAGCTCACAGTCTTCTAAAAGGATACCTAGACAACATGGCAAACTAGAACAACTTAAAACTATAATGAAAATAAGGAAAAGGACAATTAAAATCAAGTGGAGTCAGAAGTGGGACTTAAGTACATGCTAGAAATATACCATTAATTTTTGAGCAGCCACAGGGAAAGATACATAAGACTATTATAAAACTGTTTTTCCACGAGGTTAAAAAGAGCTTGATGCTCAAGAGTAGCAGAGCTGAGATTAGAGAGGCAGAAGTCTCCCCGAGATCCTCAGAAAAAAGAATCCTCGTGTACATAGGCACAAGCCCGTGCCTTCCTCCTGTGTGCCTCCACTAAAGCAGGTGGACTTCGCAAGTGCCCGCTGGAGTGGGCATTTCAGTACAGAGCAGTGATGCTTCCATCCATGCGGTGCTCTAGCTCCGTGCTTCATTCAGGGAGAGGCCTTAGAGTTTACAGAGCAGCGCGTTTTAGACTTCAGCCCATGCATTAACTTCAGGGGTCTCATGATTCTCTCCCCTTCCCCGCCTACCTCCCCAAATTGTTTTCTCACTTTGTGTCTGTTTGGTATGGAGAGAATTCATAACTTTTGCTAAGTTATTCAAGGAGACTGATATGGCACAAGACCCAGTGATGTAGTAGAATGAAGAGACTCTCAGGGAAGCTTTCATAAATGTTTTTCTCTCAGGAGAGCTTCTGAAAAGTACAAAATAGAGTAGTGGAGTTGAGATGATCCTCTTCAACAAGTACCTCTTCTTGCTTGCCAATTAGCACACAGCTGTGTGTGTTAACAAGCCATGAGCTCTGGATTGGACCAACATGCTCTTATGAAAACTGAGGAGACTCATAAGGATGGTGCCTGCATGCTTACTGTCCAGGTGACCTGAGGGTGTTCTCACTGGCAGGGGTACAGTTGTGATCCGAAAGTGTTTTAGAGGTAGCTTTTATATGTGGATAAATGAATGATAAAACCCTTAACATGAATTGTAGATTGGAAACATTGTAAAGCAATGATAACCTAATGCCCACCTCAGTCTGAAAACTGTCTCAGTGAAGCACTTAGTTTAAGCAATGTGACTTCCTGTTATGCCCTCCAAGATAGACTGATACAGGGAATGCCTACCCAGATAGCTAAATAAGGTTACTGATATGGGATTTTAAAATATAAATCAGCAGAGTTAGGGAGCAGGCTGTCTACCAAAAATTATGAGACTAAGCAATCCATAATCCTTCTTTCTGGCAGAAATTAAATAACAGGACCAGTGGTCTGTTAGTGCCACTTCAAGGTCAGAATAACAGTTGTGCTACCAGCCTATGAGTGAATGCTTAACTTCTCATTCTTTTAAGTTAAGGGCGGAGGCTTATGTATAACTCAAAAACATCAGGAAATCCTTAAGGGAAAAGTTTTCAAAAGAGCAGAAGCAAGAGCTTTTTGCTATTCCTCACCTCTGGTAAATTGTCATTATGTATGTATAGCAAGAGACCATTGCAACTCATGCTGTCACCTGAGGCAACTATGGCTCTAAGGCCAACCCTACATGCACTTTGCTGGTTTCGAGTCTAATGACCATCATTGCTAAATTCGGCTTTCAGTCCCTGTGTTATTTTCACTTAACCTGCAGCATTTGACACTTACCGCCCTATAAGTAAAGAGGTAAATAATCTCATAATTGTTCGGACAGATTCTTCTCTAGGCTGTAGGACAGATTCTTCAGAAGGTGGGACAGAGAACCCTTATGGAACATAACGGTGGGGAAGCGAATGGATGGTCACTAAGTCCAGGTTAGGCTGCTGCTGAGTGAGTGCCACTGAGGATAAAACTTGCGGGTATCAGCAAGGAAGTATTGTGAGGAAGTATTTATTCCAAGGGAAGGATCTTAGGCTGCACGAGGCTCATAGGACTAGTGGTGGATTCGTTAGGGCCTGGAAAAGTTGTTTGTGATCAGAAAGTTAATGTTGGAGTTGGAGTTTGCAGAGTAGGAACAGTTCTGGATCAGGAGAAGGTCCATGTGGTTGATCATGGACGCGTGGGGCTGAAGTGGAGGGGAAATGAAAATCATTAGAAATGCATAATCCCTCCAAGTTGGCTTTTTTGACATTGTCCTGTATCTTTATTGTACAGTTCTTTTTTCACCCCTTTGTTTTAATTATTTGGCCTCTAAACAGCAAAAATTTTAAAATAATGTAGACTAATCATCTCTTAAACTAGCAGAAGATAATAGGTGCTCAATAATCTTTGTAATTGAGAAAGAACTTCCCAGCAATGAGCCCTGTAAGCAGTTGGACAAACATGGAGCACCACATTTTATAGGGAATCCCAGCTGTAAGTGGGATGTGGATTCTTCTGGCACTAATGAGCCTTGGAGTCTAAGTAATGGTAAAGCATTTGAAATTAGAGAGTGTTCTATAAGTGCAAAGGAGAAATGTTATGCTTTGTTTATACCACTTTATTCCATTTTTCCTGGTTTTTAGTTTCACTCTCTATTTTTTCTCCTTTTGAAGTGCATTAGTTACCATGGAAACAATGGTATCATTGGAATTTATTGGTATGGACAGAGTTTAGTAATATCCACAAGAACATTTTGAAGTTAATTTAAATGATTTCTTAAAACTCAATCAGATAGAGGAAGGAGGGGAAGAGATGAACTATTAAATTCTCTTTTCTCTGCCTGAATGATATCAACTCTGCCAAATCCTTGATTATCTCAGTAATAGTAGACAGACTATTTTTTAAAAAAAATAATAAATATTTTCAATCTTGTACATTTTTAATTGTGAGTCCTTTAAGTGTTGTGTCATTCTCACCCATTCCTCTTGCCTTCTTTCACAAGGGAGGCCCAGGCTCCTCAGTCTGAAGCCTTTCCCCACCGTTTGAGCTTTGAGAGTCAGAGGGATTTCACTGGCCAGCCCTTCCTTCGTAGGTAATCTTCTTCCCAGCTCTTGCAAAGTATGTTAAAGTATATTTTCCCCTCTTACTCCATCTATATGTAAGAGATCACTTGGTTACTTTTAATTCAGTAAATAGTTATCTATTCTACAAATGCATATGTACTGATACTGAGTGCCCTCTCTAAGCAGAGCACGGGGATAAGCTCCATTGGTGATTTTTTTTAAATGAGGATGAGGCCTTTTCCTTCAAGCACTTTATCATCCTGTAGACTAGCTCCATCATGGTGCAGAGACCCTAAATTCTGAGGAACAAGAGGATGCTTTCTTCTCTGGGCTATCAAGGAGCTCTTTCATGGGAAAGTCATGATATTTTTTCACACCCCTGTAATTTTTCACATGCTGGTCCCTTGCCTGATAAGCCATTGTCAGCTTGGGACCTCATACTCATTTTTCAAATCCCTGCTTAGGCATTACTTCCTCTGGGAAGTTTTCCCCAACCTGCCAGAAAAGGTTAATAATTCTTTTTCTGAACACCTTGAACATATATCTTGTTTGACTCTTATCCCACTCCAGGTCTACCTGTCAGTCTCCACTGAAGAACTGGAGTTTCTGGAGGGCTAGGAGACATGCCTTAAATTCCTTCAGTGCCCAGTCACCTGACACATAGCAGGCACGGGATACATTCTCACTACTGACCTTTGACCTGGGGTACACTGCCATCCACAGTCTGCTGTTTTCTTCACGCCCAGGTCAGAGGCCGCTCTGCCTTGCGTTCTCTCTGCCACAGCCGAATTGCTTGTCTTCCACTTCTTTGAGATTTCCAAACAGTTTCTCTCCTCACTGCCCTCAGCATGCTGTCTTTCCACCTAAGAAAAGTTTACCCTCATTTTTCACCTCATAGCTCCTTTTTATCCTTTGGTACTTAGATTAGACATCTTTTTCTCTGGGAGACTTGCCCAGACCCTGTTAACTAGGGTAAGGTCTTTCAGTAGTTCTCAACCTTCCTAATGCCGCGACCCTTCATGTTGTGGTGACCCCCAATTTCATTGTTACAAATTGAACATAATTAAAGCATAGTGATTAATCACAAAAACAATATGTAATTATATATGTGTTTTCCAATGGTCTTAGGCGACCCCTGTGAAAGGGTCGTTCAACCCCCGAAGGTTGAGAACCTCTGTTCTAGTGTGTGATTCAGTAATTCGTTGTTTCCCCTTTGTAAGCATTTCACATTCGTCAATACTTTCACATTTATAGCGCCATGCTTACTGTCAGCCCTGTGGGTGCATGGACCACTTACCTCCCTCTGTGCCTGGAATATAGCTGCTCCCTAGATACATACTGGATGAATGAGTAGAGTAGAGTTTTCATAGGCATATCGAGGTATGGAGAGGACAGAATTCAGTCTAAAAAGAATCAGGAAA